AAATAATTTTGTAACATAAGATGTGAAATTCATTATAATAATTATTTAACAATTTTGTTTTTTCTAAAAAAATTTTAAAAAAATGATCATATTTCGATTTCATGCCTTATAAACAAAACCATGTAGTGTAATTTCTATGTTTTAATTTTTAGTTAGTTCCTTATAATTTAGTAGTGTTCGAGGAAATGTGGTCTTGCTCCAACACTCTTAGCGGTAGCAAGATCCAATAGCGTCGCTCCCATATAAGACGTAAGAAACGCTTCGACAGATGCATATTTTATCATGTCCTTGGTGAGGCGTTGGGGGTAGCATGGAATCCAATGGGAATTACACCACGTAATCCTATTGGGCTTCACAAAGTTCACTTCTTCTCCGAGCACTGCCCTCGCCAGCCTCGCCAAGCCGAAACGACTGAAATCCCTCGTCGTTTGACCATCCGGATTATTTGGTGTTCCGTTATTGCCCCTCAGCTGGGCCGCCAAGTCTCGCAGCTCCACCGCCTTGTTGGGCATCATCCAACCGTAATCCTTCTCCATCTTTTTACCAAACTTGTCTATTCCGACGCCGACCACCGTCACCCCGCCGTCGTGGAGCAAGTCCTTCAAGGCTTTAGGGAACCACTTTCCACCCCAACTACATATCGTTGAGTCCATTGTGCACATGACGCAGTGGTTTCCAACACAAATTTGTAACAATTCATAGGGATGGTCTTTGAGGCTAACTCCTATATATTGTCAAAAAAAAAAAAAAAACAGAAAGAGATTACGTAAGAAAATTTTGTAAACGATAGAAAACAAAAAATGTAACACTATTTTATTTTTACTACAACAATCTACATATTATTAAATTAATAGCGGTTAAATTTGAAGTTTTCTTTTGTAGATTCAACATATATATTACCTGTACTGTGAGAAACGTGGGTGCCGTTTGCGTAGTTGAGACTGCGATCGGCGCAGAGACCGACGACGAGGCTTCGGCGACGGTTTTTGGGGCGGTAGATCTTTTGTATTCGTTGAATCCATCGTTTGATGTCGGAATCGTCTTCGGCCCAGGTGGCGGTTATGGTGAATCGGGCAGCCACCCTAACAACAAACTCGTTATGTTCTCCCGGGACCTCTTGAATGGTTACCTCCATGATGGGGTGGCTTAGGGTTTCTTTCCTGGGGCTTTCTCTTCAATTATTTTTCTGTGTTCTCTCTCTCGGCCGATTGGATTTTTTTTTTTTTTTTTTTAATGAGCATTGGTATTTGAATAGAATACAGGGAGAAAGAAATATAAATAGCATATTTACAAGTAAATAATATAGACTTTAAAAGTATTTGAATTTAAACTAACAGTAAATAGCAAATTTATTAGATAAATAATCTATTTACTTCTTCTTTTTTTTTTTGATAAAGAAGAATAGATTTTTTTTTTTTTGATAAAGAAGAATAATCTATTTACTTTAGTTTAGTAATAACTACCTTTCTTTTATATTTTAGTAAAATATATTTGTAGAGTTTGATCATTAAGGTCAGATAATTACTTCTCAATTCAAAAAGGGGGGGTTAGATAACTTCTTTGCGTAAAATTAGGATCAGATTTCGTTTGGCATGACTGACTGTGGTATTTTTTTTTTTATCTTTTTTATAAAACAAATTACGCGTCATATGGTAAATTTATATGGAGTCGAAATATAATAATCTTGTTAATATATTTTTTGGAGAGATTTTTGTTAAAATATATCAACAAGATATATGACTAGTAAAAATTTTGTTATATATTCAAAAAGCCTATTTTTTTATCCTTAAAAAAAAATCCCTTTTTTTTCTTGTGAATATCACAAACTAGATTCAACATATAAGATAAGGTAACAAAGTATTTCAAGAACAACAATAACACAATATACGACAACAATCTCTTAGATGGACAAATTTTTTAAAACAATACTTGCTTTAAACAACTAAGAAAACGTAAAAACGCAATGGAAACGTCAACGATCTATGAAACCGATAAGGATCGTACATACGATAATGACAATTACGTTAAAAACAATAGGACGCAACAGTGCAACAACTTCTACCGAAAGAAGAATAATACACAACGTTCGTTATTAAATGACATGTCAATTTTTTTTTTTGCTTTTTATAGAATTCGAAACCGTTACAATAACAGTTTTTATAGGTGAAGTAGAAGACTACCTAAATGGCTCATATTAAAAAGCTAAAGAAGTCACAAAAATGTACATCATCATCTATTTTTCTAAAAATAATATTAGCTCATTATCAAAAAACAAAAAATAATAAGTTAGATACATCCGATAATAAAACATCAAACTCATTGTAACTAATTTTTTTTATAAAAAAAAAAATATGGCGTCCATCGTGTATGCAGGAGAGGGGAAGACTATTTAGTTTTCTTTTAAAAAAAAATGGAATGCACGGTTGAGATTAAAAAATTTTAAGAGCAATAATGAGATTAGTCTAGGGATTTTATTATTTTATTTAATATTTAAAACATATAAAAGTTTAGGGGGTTGTCAAATGAGGCTAAATGCAATAATTTTACAAATTAAAAGTGATTGATTGCTAAAATTAAAAATTCAGGGAGCAATTTGTTAAACCATGATAAGTTCATGTGATAAATGTGTTAAAAACCGAAATAATAATAATAATAATCACATTCACACACATTTAAAACGACGCCGTATAGTTATGTCTAAATCGTGGAAATCACACACATTTAAAACGACGCCGTATAGTTGTGTCTAATCGTGGAAACGACATTTCTAGTGTTGTGGCATTGTGGCCGGTGTATAACCGCGGCACGAGACTCCATCGATTTTGTTCGCAGTTCGCATTCTGGGAATCTGAGGAAAGGAGATCTGATCGCACGGCTCTTTTGCTCTTCTGACGACCTGAGGTACGCAATATGCTTATTCTCCTAGCTCTCGTTTTCTCTGTTTGGTTGCTCAGATAAAGGAGGAAAATACTGAATATTTTCCCTAAAAACGTCATAAAAAGCAAAGACGTTATTAGACTTGTGCTGTTTCTAATTTCTCTCGTTCTTGCTAGTTTGATTTATTGAAAATCTTCTCAGTAATAAAAAATGCTGTTTTTAGGGTTTCAATTCGTTAGTTGATTTTGCCCAATGAGGCGGATCAGTGCCGACGAGTGAATTTGACGGTCAATAGTATGGCTGACTGATTTATAATGCATATAAATGTCCAAATTCTGATGCCAGGAGGCTGGAGTTTATTTTCCCATTGTCAAATTAGTGAACACAATTGAAATTGGTTCCAATCTTCGCTGCTTGTAGCAGTAAATTTGATTTTTTTTTAAGCCCCTTGAAGCTAACAATTTCACGGGTTTGACTTGTCATTGATTTACTAGTTTGTAACGAAATCCAATAGAAAGACTTGTGTTTTCAACAGGAGAATGAAGTTTATTTTGCCATCTGTGCTTTTAAAATAATTTGTGGATTTGAAAACTTGATATGCTCAGGCATGAACTTTGATTATTCTTTGTTGAAAATTGTCATATTCTTGCGTGTTTTGATGGATACTGTAGTTAATATTTCCGTTGATTATTGTTTTGGTTTTTTGTTATTTGGCAACACTTGCTAATTACGTTTTTATTGTTCTCAAATATGCTGTGAGAAGTCCATGGCGGGCCCTGGGAGTTCCATGCTCTACTCTTCACTTCTGTTTACTGTCATTCTCTCTCTTCAAGAAATGTATAGAGGGAAGTTAGCGTCGACGGAGTTATTTACCATACTCGGGGGTTTTATTAGTTCCCTCCTCTTCCTCATGTTGCTGACGGTATGTTAGTATGCTTTACTTTTTCATTGCCTTCTTGTGTGGTAACGGTGTAACTGGCATTGAACAAGTTCAGAATTCACATGATAAAAATTTATCAGATCTTTCATGAATTTAGTTATTTAGGCTGGATGTGGTTGTGTGTTGAAATATGAAGCCCTGCGTAGAGCATGTATTGTTTTCCTTAATTTCTTGGCAAAGTTGTACGTTGAAATCTTGTAGCATGGATTTCAATTTTTCACGTGGTGATTGTTCTTTTCTTTCCTTGAGAAAGAATTTTATTAAGGAACGCAGGAAATCTATAAAGTTTGTATATGAATTACAAGTTCTCTTATGTGAAATTATTGGACGGAAATGTCGAGAAAGTTTTATTAGTTTGCCACATTCCCACTTTTCCAGAAGGTGATGTGCAAATGTAGCTTATTAAATTTGCATATTGGATCAGCATGAAGATTTACATTTGCTTGGTTTTGTTCTTTCAGTTCATTAGTAATTTTCAGGAAACATGTGGCATAAAGACCGGCTGGGGTGCTGGTGAGTGTACTTCAGCTCATCTGCCAGTATCTCTTTTAATAGCTAAAACTCCAAGAAGATTTGGCAACTTTGTTAAGTACTAAGGGAGCTTAAGTAAGTAGTTTTTATTCCTCCGTGCAGTTATTGTAGCCGAAGTTGTTGCTCTTATTGCTGCTAGCACTGTCCATCGAGTTTGTATCACGACATGGTAATCCTCATACGTGACTACAATATTTTGCCTTTAAGCGAGTCTTAGTATGTTTCGTAGAATATTTGGCAAAATGCAGTGTTTGTTGTCTAAGATATACATGCATACAACACGTAGTGATGATCCTGTTTTCATTTTTGCTGCAGTTTCTTGTTTTCAGCTGTACTACTCTATGAAATCCACAAGCTTTCAGGGATGACGCTTTCCAAGAGTGAATCGAAAACTAAAAGGCACTGAATGAGATTCTGCGTAGTTTAGAAATTTATATATGAATGATGTGATCAAGTGTCGACTGCGGCTTTTTACTTGTTGTTTCTATTTAAAATACTACACCCGAAAGATACCATTTTGAGATGTATTAGATGTTTCTTAACAATTCAGTAACTTGGAAGATGACATTACTTGTAGTACTTGGAGAATTTCAATGTTTTCAATATAATTTTCTCTAGGCACCAAGATGCTTTGGGAAAAAGCTTATATTATTTGCGAACAAGTCTAATTTAAGTTGCACAAAAAAATCCAAGAAGCCCGGTGATCAGGCTGAAAACAGAATGTCCTCTATTGCTTGTGGCTCCAAACAGACTGGAGTGAGAAAACACTTATAATTGATGCTTCGCCGATTCTGTGAGTGAGCATGGTGGTTGTGATGTTGGTTTGAGTGAGAGGAAACTTTGAAGTTGAAGCAAGTTCAAACGGTGGGCAAAACTCGTCTCGCTTGCCAATATCAAAATCACCAAAAGTCCTTCCTCCTTGCCGGATAATTCTTACAAAGAGCAAATACCACCACAAGAAATTTCCCTGGACAAGCAACGTGAGAGTTTAGGCGCAGAGCTAGCCGGGTGTGAGGGTGGCACCCTCTCGGTTGGGGGCTTCTCCAGTTCTCCTCCACGCTCAAGAAATACGAAGGTGTCGGTAAGATTTTCTACTTGCTGAGTGAAAAAGTTGAGAAAAAAAGTGCTCAACTCGACAATTATATCAGAAGGCCAGCAATTGAAGTCATTTGATCCCCGTAATGAAGCCCGTGTCACAATAATTGAATTTTTGCTCCCAATTCGTATCCATCAATGCAACCTAAATCAACCGACCTTAAGTAATTGAATTTTGCTCCCCTTATAACCACACTGCAACGAGTTTGTGGCATTTCAAGAGAATTCCTTCGTAGTTTCCCCAACCATACCAAAAGAGAACCAATACATCAACTCGTCTATTCATGGTTCCTCAGTCACACAGAGGCTCCTTGACCAGAAGATTCATTTTCTGCTGAAGAAACTTGAGCACATCATCTCTCCCTTCCTTCATCAACAACTGCCTTAACCTCCCAAATGTCACTCCTGCCGGCCGGATTCCCTTCTCTATCATCTCCTCCATCAATACACAAGCCCGACTAGCATCTTTCTTCTCACACAACCCGTTTATAAGCACCGAGAACATGTGCATACTCGGGACAAACCGCTTCGATTTCATGTGCTTCCACACTTCAAGGGCCATATCAACCTCACCCTTCTCACAAAACATCTTTATCATCATAGTATACGTATCTGCATCCGGTTCACACACCTTACTCATCCTGCGAAACACCTTAACCGCCTCCTCTGTCCTCCCTCTACCAATCAACCCATTCAACATCACATTACACGTCCTCGAATTTGGCCTAACACCCTTGGAATTCATATCATTCAACACCCTTTTCGCATTCTTGAACCTATCCACCCTAGCAAAAGCCCCAATCAAGGCATTATACACAACCACATCAGCCTCAACACCCCTTCTCTCCATCTCCATAAACGCATCCACAGCATCTTCAATTCTGCTCTCCACACCGTAAGTATGCACCAAAACGCTGTAAATAAACGACGTCGGTTTACAGCCATTGGAATCCATATGCCTCACACTCTCAATGGCTTCATCGACTCTCCCTGCCTTGCAAAGCACGTCAACCATAATTCCATAAGTCACAACATCAGGCTTAATACCCAAATCAACCATTTCTCTAAAAACTTCCCTAGCCCTAGGCAAATTGGGTTCTTTTCCCCACCCATCAATCAGAATACTATAAGTCTTCGAATCCGGCTCAAACCGATCCTTCATTTTATCAAAAATCTCCTGAGCTTTTCTGACATTTCTGGACTTACAGAGCGCGCTCAAGAGGCCGTTAAACGCGGCCAAATTCTGCGAAACGCCGTGCTTCTCCATGACATTGAAGGTGTAAAGAGCCTCGTCGATTTTGCGGGCTCTGGCGTATTTCCTCATGATGATGCAGAAGGTCTCGACATTGAGAGTGTCGTTGGATCTCATGGCGCTCACCAGCTCCCACATGAGCTGGTACTGCCGGATCTTGGCTAGGGATTCGATCGCCGCGTGGTGGGCCCGGACGGAGTGGGAGTAGCCGCGCTGCTTGGCGGCCCACTGGAAGAAGCGGTGGGCGAGCAGGCCGGCGTTCTGGAAGCGGGCGAGGACGTGCTCGGCGATCTCCGGCGTGAGCCTGACGCCGGCGTGGTCGAGGGCGGTGTCAAGGGCGGCGACTGGGGTGGAGGACATGATTTTGCAGATTGTTTGGATTGGGTCTGGGGTTTCGCGCTTTGGTTTTGTGGAGCTGTGTCTTTTTAGCAGAGATGGGTTTCTGCATATTGTTTGGATTTTGGTTCTGTGGAGCATTGCTTGTCGAGGGATTTCGGAAATTAGAGAGAGAGAGAGAGAGAGAGAGAGAGAGAGAGAGAAACTTGGAAGTAGGAAGTGTGGGCTGAAGCCTTCAACAGTTAAAAGTGAAGGAAAGGGAACAACTGAAAGGCTTTTTTGCATTTACGGGGTAAATCAAAAGAAATTTTGTTTTTTTATGATTTAAAAAAAAGTGTAGTTAAATGGAAAAAAAAAAAAAACAAAATCTAATTCCCTCAAATCTACATATTTGTGTTTGGTATAATTTGATGCGTAATACTATTTGTTTTAAGAAGGTCTAGCGCATTAATTCGCTATATAGCTAGGTGTGTCTCATTTTTAATTTGCCATTTGTGTTTAATTCGCAATATACTTGTTACATCATCTCAAATACAAATATTAATATTAAATTTGAATATAAAAAATTATAAAAATGAGATATTTAATATGTTATTTTTATTTGTGTTTTAATAAATAATGTTACACCCTCCTAAAAAAAACATAATGTCTTTAAATGTTATATCTATTTTGTCATAATTATTAAGTTTTGAAGCCGAAGTAAAAACAAACTTTTAAATTACATTCAAAATGTCAATACTATATATGATTAAATGAACAAAATAATCAAATTAATTTATAGCAACTAAATGTCAAAATTTAGATATGTTATATTTGGTGTTAAAGTTGTCAATAAATATAGCATATGTTAACTTTAGCATTAAAAAAAGCTTTATATTAGAGAGAGATTTTGTATTCAAATGATAAAGGTTGGCATTGAGACAATGATTAACATCCCATTGGAGATACTCTTAAAAAAATTTATAAGTCAAAACAATTTTTTCTGTTTTTCTTTTCAATTTGTGTTTAGCAAAAAGAGTTTGACCCTAGGCTGATACCAATTGTAAGTCAAAACAATTGTTAGATTAATTGTGAGTTCTGTATTTTGTGTATATGTTTTGGAAAAAAAAAAAAAAAATTAGCTTAGAGTGGTTGTAGGCATAAGTCAGCTAAATTACGTTCATTCTTTTAGTGTCAAGAAAAAAAAAGGCTCTTATCCATTCTACAAAATAATGCATCATTTGTAGGGAATTTACTTTATGGAATTAATTATTTAACACTAATTCCGGAGAAGTAAACTGGTAAGAAAATTTTGAAAATTAATACCTTTCATCTATAATTAGTATGCACCCAAGAAAAAAAATTAAAATTTAAGGTCCCGTTTATTTCACCGAGTTTAGAATTCGAGTTTTGCTACAGTAAAAAACTCTCAGAACAGTTACATCTAACTTTTTTGTTACAATAAAAAGTTTTCACATAAAGTCACATCTCAACTCGAATTAAAAACTCAAATCAGCGAACTAAACAAGCTATGTTTAATCAATCTATCAAACAGCTCAAAGTTTTATTATTATTATTATTATTACTTTAGCAAGCTCCAATTATTATTATTTTAGCAAGCTCCAAGTTTTATTTGTGATAAATCAAACACTTGAAAGTTGGTAAAATTTTGCAGCAGCCAAGACCCCCCAAAAAAGTGCCCAGGCAGCAATGTCAAACTGAAAAACATGACACGTTCTTACTCGGAAAATTCTAAAGAATCTTTTAATCAAACTTTGTAGTAATTTACAAACAAATATATACAACTACAATTTGGAATTTTCTCTAGCACAAACAATTCATGAACATGTTAGAAACTTGAAAAGTTGTTCAGAAGAAAAGTCAAACAACCACACTGGTGTTTGGTACTAAAAAGCCGAACTCGTGCTTGAACTGGCTTTGGATCGCTCACTTCCAGAAAAGTTGGAAGAAGAACGAAACCCAATAGACGATCTAAACGACTCGTGACTAAGCGGCAATGGCCGATCCGGTAATATGGGAATGTCAATATCACCTTCCAACATCTTCAAAGCTTCAGAAATGGTGGGCCTAAAAGCCACCATAACATGAGAACAAAGAATCCCCACACGAACAAACCTCTCCATAACCCCTTTCGGCCCTTCCTTCCTTGTCGTCTCCTCAAAAACCTCTTCCACTTTGCCCGCTTTCAGAACCGTCCACGCCCAATCCGTGATCAGGACCACCGATGGGTTCGACGTGTCGAGCGCTTTCTTTCCGCTCATGATCTCGAGAATTACTATTCCGAAGCTGTAGACGTCGCTTTTCTCGGTTAACTGGCCGTAGAGAGCGTATTCGGGCGCTAAATACCCGTGCGTGCCGGCGACTCTCGTCGTCAGGTGAGTTTGGCCTTCTTTGGTTTGCTTGGCGAGTCCGAAATCTGCCACTTTTGCCTTCATTTCAGTGTCCAGAAGTATGTTTGTGGCCTTTATATCTCGGTGATAAATGGCGGGTTTTACTCCTTTGTGCAAGTATGCGAGGCCTTTGGCGACGTCCAGGATTATGCTCTTGCGCTGAGGCCAAGTTAATGGCCGCCATGTGTTTGATAAATGGTCGCTGAGATTGCCGTTCGACATGAAATCGTAAACCAAGTACCTCCTTCTGCCTTTCATGTCGTCGCTCGTGACGCAACAACCTCGGAGGGAGAGCAGATTCCTGTGTCGTATTTTGCTTATGATCTCGACTTCGTTGCAGAACTCTTCGTCGCCTTGGGACTCCATGTTTATGACTTGCTTGACTGCCACCAGAGTCCCGTCCGAAAGCGTTCCCTTGTACACAACCCCGTATGCGCCTTGGCCGATTAGATTTCGTTGAGAGAACCCGTTTGTTGCTCGTTCGAGCTCTGACAAGCGAAACCATTTTGCTCCTGAATTGGGCAATACCGTTGCTCTGAAACTGCCCACGAACTCTTCATGTTGAGCATTTTGTCTCCTCCTTTTGCCCCGTCTCCGGTGCATTATGATCAACACAACAGCAAGCATAACACCAACAGCAGCACCCAAGGACCCGAATACTATCCTCAAAACGGTTTCCTTGCTCAACTGGTTCGACCTTTTTTTAGTTTCTGAGCTAGACAATGGCAAACCGAGAATACAAGAAGCTGTATTGGGATCCTTTGGACCCATTTCGTTGGAAATCCCAGCAGCATATAACACTGTGAAATAAAAGCATTTCGTTCCATTCGGGTCTAAACCTATCAACTGCGCATTCACCTTAAAGCCTGCATCAAGGCATACGCTGCATCTAGTTAGACTCATCACGTCCCCCTGGCAAGACTCGTTTAACAATGGCGCCGTTGGACCAGCCTTCTCGGACCAATCTTGGGTGGTGATGATCCCAGCACAAGCTGCAGGGTTGGTGACAAACTGAGTTGAGTTATGGAAGCAATTACGGACTAAAGACGCGTTAATCGATAGAGCGGAGAGCCTAGTTTGGAAATTCAACAGGCAAGAATCTGAGGAGCCTTCGTCGGGAAGTTGGAAGTGTAAGGTGTCTCTGAGGTGTTGAGCCAATCCCATGCCGAAGACGCTGAGAAGGGTTTGGCAGCAATCGTCGTGGACCGGTTCCCGGCATAGAGAAGTGTCCCATGGGAAGGTCTCGACGTAGCTGAGATCGATGGGACATGATGAAGAGGATGAAGAGGATGAGAGAATGGATAAGATGAATGAAGAGAAGAATATGAAGCATATGGAAAGGAATGAGAAAGACTTGCCCATGTTGTAAACCATTTTGTTTGTGTAGAGTTGTGTCTATATATGATATGTGTTTGTGGTGGCCGCGGATGTTGAGTTTCTGATCAGAGTTGTTGGATTTGAGCCATAAAACATTAGCCATCAATATTGGCTGGCGACGGTCAAAAGAGCAATAGGCACGTTTCAAAAAGAGTTTGGTACAAATAAACTAACGTTATGTGGGTGGTCATGGTCAAACTAACGCAAGCCAGAGATATTAAAGGTCAGGGTCAAACACACACTAGATGAAACTGCTAGTATTTAACATTTTGTTTTGATTTGGACTAGGACAAGAGTAGGGCAACCTGGATTTATTAGCTGCTATATGTCAAGGTAGATGGATAAATATCTTGTAATTGAAAGTTGTGCAGGAAAAAACAGAATTCCCCCCAGGAAATAAGCTTTGAAAAAAAAAAAAAAAAAAAAAAAAAAAAAAAAAAAAAAAAACCAAGAATGCCCCCCATAAATCTAAAGATATAAAAGAGATAACATGCCATCTAATTTTCTCAACAACAATGGTAAGCCCAGGGTCTGCTAGTTATTGAATTGGGTTAACTAGCCTCATGAAACTCTGCGTCGTCATTTCTGCAACTCACGGAGGCTGAGTTTAAGACAACTAGAATTTGAAAGTTCTATTAAAATAAACTTACATATCAATTATCAAAAAAAAAAAAAAAAAAAAAAAATCAGAGCGAAAGTTGATTTGTATACATGATACATAAGATATGTTACTATATTACAGAAAGAGAAAAATAGGAGATGAACAAAATGAAAACGCTTTAGTCAAAAAGCGAAAACAAAAACAAGATGAAGACGCTTTTGTTTTGCATTACACGGATTACAGAGCTTTATCAGATGTCAAAACAAGAAAACACTGGTTAAATATTAATCCCGTTTTTATTTTTTACGTTTTTTGAAAAAAAAAAATGAAAACGTTTTCAAAACAGCGTTTTGTGCAATAAAAATAAAAAATAAAAATGAAAATAATTTTTTGATTTAGTGTAAAATAAGAGAGAAATGAAAAACGACTTTTATTTTTATTTTCTCCTCTCTCGAGCACAGAGAGAGAGAAAGAGAGATATTAATGGGTTTTTTATACTGAAAATAATCTCTTGATAAAACTAACAAATGTATTTTTAAAAATAATTTCTGTCTGAGATTAAAAATATTTTCATTTTTATTTTCATACAAAAAATAAAATTATTTTAAAACGAATTCCAAACGCGTCCATTATTAACACTAAGCCACTATCAGTGCCATTCTCATCAGCCAACCGGAAAAAAAAAAAAAAAAAAAAAAAAAAAAAAAAAAAAAAAGAAAGAAAGAAAGAGAGGTAACATCATTAAATCCTCAACCATTATTCTTCTTTTTAAAGGGAAGGCAACCATTATTCACAAGTGCATGTCTTGCAACTTGCAAGGGCAGAAGAATACATATACATTTGTTTGTATAGTGGTATACAAGATCAAAAAATAAAATAAAATAAATCCTCAACCACCTCCAATTCTTCCAATAACCAGTATTCACTCACATTTACACGCCAACTTGCTAGATGCTAACGTATGGAATTGGAATACAACCCCGTAATACCGAAATAGTAGACCAGCTATCAACAACTTTTAAACGTTAAATCATTTTCAATTGCAACGCACATTCAAGGAAAAAAGTACAGGTAACGAGGTGATAACATTTGAGATTCATTCATTTCACCGATTTGAGTTTTCAGTTTTAAGTTTTTACAATAAAAAATTCTCAGAAAATGTCACATTTAATTTTGTCTGCTACAGTAAAAAGCTCTCAGAAAATATCACATTTCAACTCGAATTAAAAACTCAAATCCTCAAAGTGAACGAGGACCATAAATTGAGATTTCACCTTATTTGTTTATTCACTTACTTGCAAGTTGCAAATACGTTATTTATCAAATGTTTACTTACCTATTTTTTATTATAACTAGTTTTGAACGAGCGCTCTACGGTTATATATATTGTTTAAAAAAAAGAGAGAAAAAAAAACATAAATTTAACTTATTTTATTATGCTTTAAATTAGTTTTATTTTATTTTGTTTATTTATTTTTTAATTATTTTAGTGTATTTTATTTAATTTTATTTTTTATTCAAATTATTTATAGTATTTTTATTTAAGCAGCATTAGAAATTTGGTACAAAATAGTGTTAAAATGGACAAAATCAAACTACAAATCAATTCAAAACAATAAAGAAGTATAATAAATAATAATAATAAATTCAAACTGAAAATTTCTGATCGAGATCATGGCCAGCTTTGTTTTTTATTTAATTTAGTGTTATTTTATTTTAGTGTATTTTTGTTTAATTTTATTTTTTATTCAAATTATTTATAGTATTTTACCTGAGTATTATTGAAAATATAGTGCAAAACCGTGTTAAAACATACAAAATAGGACCATATATCAATTTAAAATAAATAAATACGTATAATAAGTAAAATAATTAAAAAATTAAATCTGAAAATATTTGGGCCGTCAAATCGAGATCATGGACGGCCATGATGCCCGCGTGCAACCCACAGTCAGGAGAAGTGCCTCTGGGCTCTAGGTGTGACAGGTAAATGCAACAGGTGGACCCGCCACATTCTCACGTCAACGAATGAACGCGTGACACGTGACATAGCTGTCAGCCAATTTCTTCACTTGTGAGATACACTGCAACGTGTTCTGTGTGAGACCGTTTTTTCAAGCAACGGGACTTTGAAACGTGTCCAACTAGTGGGCAAATTAACCACGCGCTGCCACGTGGATTCCACCGAAGATGCTTTTGAATCAGAAATCGACGGGTGGCGATTTCAAAGAAAGTTAGCAGCCAATTTAGTAATGCTGTAAATTCTGAAAAAATTATTTTTTGTTGTGCTAACGAAAAAGTTACTGTTACAAAAAATAATTAAGTATTATTAATAAGTTTAATTATATAAGTGTTATTGGTTTTAAAAATAGTGTAATAACATTTAGTAAATTGTGATGTTTAATTGATGTAAGTAGTTTAAATGATTGTAATTAATAATCTTAAATTAATATATAAAGTAATTAATAATTAATAATTATTTAGTAAATAAATTTTACTATATTATTAATATAATAATAATGGATAAATTATCATTAATGAGTAAATTAGTAATTAAACTATATATATAATAAATTAATATGCTAAATAACTAAAAATAGTAAAATTTTTGGTAATTATTCTTTTTATAATGATTAATTACTAATTATCAATTAGTAATTATTATTGATTAGTATATTGCATATTGATAATTATAATTTAATATTAATTATTAATTAAGTAATTACTATTTATTTTTTATTTACCAACTATTTACTAATTAATAGATTATAATTAACATAATATATGATTGATATATTAATTATTTATTATTTATTTAATAACCTATTATTACTTGTTTTATTGTTAATAGGTTATGCAATTAATTTTTGAAAATTAATCTTTAACTAAATAAATAAATTATTATTATTTTATTTATTATTTTATTAAAAACTCAATAGTAATAAATTAATAATTAAGTAATTACTATCTATTTATTAGTTATTAAGTATATCTATTTATTAATTATTAATTAATATATAATATAATTAGTAATTAATTATTAATTATTTAATATAACTTTGTTGATAATTATTAATTGTGCTATGTTGATTCCCGCACAATTTAAAAGTTAAAGTTATTTTTAGAATGCTTCTTATTTTGGCCGTAGATTCTTCAAAAAAAATTTAAAAATCACTTTTTATGGTTTTTACCAAATATCATTATCAGCTTCTAATGACTAGATAAGTGATTTTGAGCTCCAAGAAGCATTGTCAAATGCAACCTAAATCCTTTTCTTTATCAACAACAAAAAGTCAACGAATCGTAAGAGGCAACGAAATGGCCCCTATGAGAAACGGATTCTCTCTTTTAAGGAGGTAAAAGATAAAATTGAAGTAAGATCGCAAACTTATGAGTTATGCCAGAATCCCAATCCTAATAGTAACAATACATCATTATTTATTCAACATTGTGCAAGATTCGAGATCTAAACCTCAGTAATACAAGTATAAATTTAGTTATAAATGAAACCTGCAGTCATAATCTAATACAATTTAACAGTAATTCTAGTTACCTAATTACCATTATTTAATCAATTCCTTGTATGTTAAATCATAATTGTGAGAGTATGTTTACCAAACTATAGGATGCAAGATGAGTTTGAAAAATAAATAAAAGAATACGAATAAAAATTATTGATTCATTTTCTAATGTTTACTTATTTATTCAAATATAAAAAAATAAACAAATTTTTTACTTAGTGTTTAAGGATAATTATTTTTCAATGTAAATACTAGTTTCCTTTCACATGATTGAATAATTCTTGATTTTTTTTTAAAAGGTAATCGTTGACTTGTAACATACTCACTGATTAAAAGTATATAAGTAAATTTTGTATACGCTTTATTAATTGGAAAGCAATACAATATGTCTAGGTACTTCTACTCGTGTCATATATCATGTAAGATCCATCAAATTACTGTATATTATTTGATTTTGTAAACAAACACATTAAATGAAAAAAGAAAAGCACTTCTTATCTTCTATTTTCTTTGATGTGAAGTAAAAGCTCTTTGAAGGAAATCAATTCACCTACAACATTTTAGGGAAAATATTAGAAAAATAGAAAATTAAATAACATGTCAAAATTTTTATGGGTTGTTCTTTTGCATTTTTGAGTTATAGTGACTTGAGTGATGATCTTGAGTTGAGTTTGAGTTATAACTTGAGTTTGTGTTTAAATGTGTACATTTGAGTTATGATTTGAATTGAGAATCTTTTTGAGTTTATGTTTGGGTGGGTCAAAACTTAAATTTATATTGAGATAGTATTTTAATAAAAACTCAATGGTGATGAAAAAATTTTAATAGGGTATATGAGTGAGGTTTTATTCGTCTTTTCGTTGTGAATGCATAGAAAAAAATCATCTCAATCAAAATTAAAACGAAAATATTATGGCATTTTTAAGAATAGAAAAAATACTTACCGTATTTGGAATTGATCTCATTTTTATTTTTTACATTTTTCGAGAAAGAAAAAATGAAAATGTTCTCAAAACGGCGTTTGGCGCAATAAAAATAAAAAACAGAAATAAAAACGATTTTTTGGTTTAGTGTAAAATGAGAGAGAAATGAAAAATGACTTTTAGTCGTTTTTCATTTTTTATTTTCATTTTATCCTATCTCGAGTAGAAATAGAGACATTAATGGGTTTTTTTTTACACTGAAAATAACCTCTTGATAAAACTACCAAACGCATTTTTAAAAATGATTTCTGTCTGAGATAAAAAAATGTTTTCATTTTCCTTTTCATACAAAAAATAAAATCATTTTAGAACGAGTTCCAAACGCGTCCACTGTTCATTAACTTGAGTTTGAGTTTATGAACTCGAGTTGAAGGGGAAACTTAAACTCGAGTTTAGCCTCATATTCGAGTTTAAACTCGAGTTCAAACTCAAATTTTATAAAAGAACATAAATTTAAATAAAATTGTAACTAGAGTTTAAACTTTTTTTGAGTTTCATTGGAAAAGAACAACCCATATATGTCTTGAGATATGTGATATATGTTGCGTTTTCTTCCCACTTCAAAGCCCCAATTCACTAATTTAACTCAGTTCATCTCAGTTAGAGCAAGTAGTTTGAATTCGTATTTAGTAAGCACGCAATTTGAATTGTATTTTCTATTTAAACTGAATTAAATTGTCCAATTTAAAAGTTAGCATTCTATTAAGTTTAATCGTTTAAACTGTGTTTTTTATACCTACTAAACATAAATTTAAATTTTAATCTCTATTCAAATTAAAATTTTAATATACATTGAAACGTCAACTCAAATTATAATTTAAACTAATTTAAAATTTTTTATACAAATAAAAAAAATTAAAATTAACAAAATTTGAACACGAGATAAACCAACATATTTGCGTGTTACAAATAAAAAAATTTAATATTCATGGGATAAATCCAAAATTATTATTATTAATATATTTTTTCTTTTGCACTCGTCAATATTTCTCGAAGAAAAAAAAGCAAAAAAGCGCTTATTAATTTGCCTCTCGAAAAGAAAAAGAAGAAAAAAAGTAAAGTAGGTGTGGCGCCAGATGTAGTCCAAGCATCCAACACAGTGCAACGTCACCGACACAAAAATAAATAAATAAATAATGAAAATAATTAATTTCGTAACTCATACGCCGTGGCATATGTCGCGGTCCGCCACTTAAATCTTCACTTCGCCATTTTCACAATCACAAATCCGGCGAGACAGAGAGAGAGAGAGAGAGAGAGAGAGAGCAACGGAGTTTTCTGATCTTTCGATTTCCCCTTGGCTTTCTAATCCCGGAATTTTATCCGATCATTCTTTCTCTATCACACTATTCCCGCCAAAATCTTCCTCACCGTCCCGACTCAATTCCCCTCTCTTTCTGCCCAATTCCAATCACCGGAAAACTCCCCGCCGTCTCAGATCCGGCGATCGTCGCTGAATTTGATCGGATTTCATCAATTTTCCGGCACGGACACAAAACGTCGTCGTGTAAGCCCTAAGAATCCCTAATTTTCGTAGAGAATTTCGAGCGGTGTTTCGGAATTTGCTAATCCCCTGTTTGTGGCTCGATCTGCTTATCGGAAAATAGTTTAAATTATTGATCTTTTATTGCCTGATTGTGCTTTTTTCTTTTTCGATATTGTGATCGTCCGTCGCGCCTCGATTATTGGCTCAATTTGATCGATTTGGTTAAGGTTTGAACATGGACGAGTTCGGTGTGTTGACCGAGAGGTATGGGTTGAAACCCCAAGGAAAAGCGGCTCCAATGGCCGCATCGAAGATAGCCGTCGACAATAATAATGCACAGAGTTGGAATTTCGGTGTGAATTCGAATATAAACCCCAAACCTTCTAATGTTCTCGGCGATCAAAATAGGATTTTTGACTCCATTGGTGATTCGAAACCCTACAATAATGGAGCTTCCGGTCATTACGATGATATTTTTGTACACATTAATCCCCCGAAGCAATCATTTGCTGGTGGTGGTGGTGGTTCATCTTTTGATTACGAGTCATTCTTCTCGTATTCCAATGGGAATACCTCGTCGTTCCACGCCTATGGTAGTGACGATATTTTTGATGGAATGCCTGGGGTGAAGAGTTCGATTTCCGCGAATAATGATTCGAACAGCGACGATATTTTTGGGCCATTTGCTTCGCCTCCGAAGCAGAGTGCTCCAATTGATGACTTGTTAGGCGATTTTGTTCAAGCAGACGCGAAACCAAAAGGCTCAAGTGGGAACACAACCTCTAATTTTGATGATTTGATACCTGGGTTTGGTGACAATATTCCTCCCAATGACGGGTACGTATAATTTGAAAAAGTGATATTTAATTGGGTTGATTGAATGATAAAGATGTAGAATTTCAACACTGATAAACTTTGCCCTCTATGAATTAAAAAAATCCACTCTAAAACTTATCTGGGACCATTTTTGTTTGTGTAAAGAACTTTTGGAGCTTCCAAAAGCAATACTAAACTGGGCTATATAGTGTTAATCTACTGCTTAATGTGTCAAATTAACGGCTTTATCTTGTTTTCATGTTGTTCTTCAGAAGTGCGAGCAAACATAGCGCTCGTCAATCAACTCCTCATTCTACTAAATCAAATTTCACTTCATCGGAAGATCCTTTTATTGTGCTAGAATCAACTTCTGTCTGTACTTCGAAAAATGCATATGCTTCCTCTGATGTTTTAACGGACCAAATGGAAGGGATTGATAAACTCAACAAGTCTGGAGGCATCAAACCTCCACGATTGAAATCCCCTCCAATAGCAACACAAGTTTCACGGGAACCTAAAGGTATATCCTTTGGCTAAAAACGGGATGTATGGTTTTTTTTTTTTTAAAAAAAAATTGCAAAAGGTTCACCGAGTTATTTTTCTTCTTCTTTAATTGAAACGTGCATTTTGATACAGTTAGGAGCTCGGATGTCTCTTTCTTAGACGAACTTGAGGACTTTGCCAGGGGCAGCGTTCACAATAATGCAAATGGACGCTCAAATTCTCATTCGAGTGGAGATGACCTAGAATCCTTTTTCAGTGTGAAGCACGGCCCTCGATCAAACAGTGCACCGAGGTCAAGGACGACGACTATGGTGAGGACACAAGTATAGTTGGTGAAACTCCTTTTCCAACATTTTTTGAGTAGATTATTTATTTCTGACCCACTTACAGGATCCCTTATTTGATGCTGCTACTAACAAAAGGGGAGTACCTCGACCTGAAGTGCCTTCGCCCAGCATAAAGAAGTCCCCTTCCGCTAATGTAATTGTTAATAACCCTTTTTCAGTGTTTGGAGGTAATTTACTATCGAAGTTTGGATTCAGTTAAAAACATTGCAAATTTCAAAAAGGAAATGTATTAAAACTTCTGACTTTCTTTCTTAAGACGGCAAAATGTCTGGACAATTTGAAGAAGTCAGAGGGGATAGTGATTCAAGACGAAAGCAAAAACTTGATCAACAACGAAAAACCCAGGAGCGTATGGTCTGTGCACTTTCCTTTGAAACCTTGTGTCTCTGTTTTCTCAAACATAATTTGACAATTTTATCTTAAAGTTCTAGCACAACTTTCTCAAGGACTCCATATAGGAAGTCAACTCACTCTTCTTTGGCCTTTGCCCGACTGGTGCATTGTACACATATGGCTATATTGCCAATGTTGTTTATGGAATAATTCTGGAAATCTTTTACTTCATATTTTTTACATTTCAGCTGTTTGTCATACTTATATTTGCACAGGACAATCAAAGGTTTTGATTGTTCTTTATGCAGCACAATGCACTGAATGATATGAAACAGCGGGATTTTCAAGCTCAGCAAGAGCAGGAAGAGAGGCATGTAAGTATTTAGTTTGTTCTAAGAAAAAAAAAGTATTTGGTTTGTTTCATTAGCATTGTTATGCGCATGGAAAACTTTTTTATAAGGATACTCAAATTAAAATATGATTTCTTAACTAGTCATTGTTAACGTATTTAACTAGTTTTTTTAATGTTTTTGGTTCAGGAACTTTTTCTTTTTTGGTGATACTATATAATTTTTTTTTTTTTTTTTGTTTATAAATATCATTTTTTGTTATTGTTGTTGTTAACATTTTTAATTTTCCCTAGGATTATGACTTTTCATGGTTGTTGTTTTAATTGACTATTTTAAATGCACTTGCAGAGAATTGCTGAGACTCTGAATGTTGGAATAAAACGTTGGGCTGCTGGGAAAGAGGGCAACATTCGTGCGTTGTTGTCGTCATTGCACTATGTATGTTCTACACTGTATTTTACTTTTTATATTCTGCCTTGTATTTCTGGATTTAGTACAGAAATAATCAGTTCTTCATTGTCTTCTGTTGTGTGAAATTACATTAACATGTCTTACATGATTGTTAAACTATCACGTGTTGTCTACTAGATTGTATTTGAACAGAGGTCGTTTGTGGCAACATGTATGACGATAGAACATGTAATATCTGTTGAACATAATGATGAAAGCTAGTGATAGTAATTTATGCTGTTGGAAAATATGTATATACGTTTAACGAGGCGCTTTTTTTTTTTTTTGGTTGCTAAACATTGTAACGCAGATGCGCCTCATTAAGTAGCATATGGATATGTGTAATTCAATTCCTCCCACAGGCTTCTTACCGTGTCTAAGATTGAGTTTTATTTTAGACTGTAACCTATTGCATATGGATATGTGTATTTTGATTCCTCCACATGCTTCCTAACGTATCTAAGAGTTTTATTTTAGACTGTACCCAACTCAAGAGTAATGATCAGTGCAAGTGATAAGTTACATCTGCTAGGCTTAAAAATCCAGGGTTCCTTCCAGTTTTTACGGTGTAAATGATGCATTCCTACTGGAAATATGAAGTTTAAGTGTTGTCAAAGGCGTGTATTCAAATTGTTTTCCGTTTCAAGAAATAGTTGTTTATATCCCGGCATTGCTATTACTTGTCTTACTAGAATGGTGTGAATTCCCCTTCCTCCTGCATTAGAATTTTTAGCCGATCTTGCATTACCGAGCAAGACCTTATCAATACTGACATTACCCTTTATTCTGGAATGATGAACAGGTACTTTGGCCTGAATGTGGTTGGCAGCCCGTTTTGCTGACAGATTTAATTACTTCTGACTCGGTTAAAAAGGTCTATAATAAGGCTAAATTGTGTGTCCATCCTGATAAGGTTCAACAGAAAGGAGCCAATATTGAGCGAAAGTTTACTGCAGAGAAGGTTTTTGATATCCTTCAGGTACATTTCTCAATACTTAGCAATGTTTCTGTTGACTCTCAGAAAAAGGTCCTCGTACTTGAACTAGTGTTTCTAGTATTTTTGGCATTAAGCTAAATCTGGTTTGATGCTGAAACAGGAAGCTTGGAAGAAGTTCGAGAAGGAAGAACTTCCTTCTCGTTCTTCGTTACGATGAGTAACTCGTCTTTTTTGGTGTATATGAACTACTCCTATTCAGGAGGAGTACGCATTTGTACTCTCTGAGATACGGCTATTTTGCAGCATTGGGAGTGCAGCAGGAGGGCTGCAATGCATTTGGTGTTTGTTCGATTTGGGACGCCAACTGGTAAAAAGTAAAAAGTTTATGTATGTTAATGTAAATTAGACTATTATACCATTTACAATCAATAGTTGATACTTGCCCATTAGAGCATTGATTGACAATCTCCATTGAACGATTAGATTTCAATAGCGTGGAGAGGGGTGCTGTTATGGTTGTTGCTTGAACGATTTCTTTTTTTTTTTTTTTTTTTTTCCTTTTTGCACGTACATGTGCATTTTTTTTTTTTTTTTATTTCGGTTGTATTTTTTTTCCCTCGGAACTTCTGATTTGTGATTCGTCTTTTCTTGAGAAGTTATTATTGTTTGCTTGACTGTTGAGAAGTTATTTTGTGTTCTTAAGTATTGTTTTGGAAATATAATTTATGCTCCTTGCGTATGTTAATTTTAGCATAATTGGTTGATCGTTGAACATTAGCCTGTTTTTTTTTTTGGGTGTGAGGTTGTATGAGTTCTCTTGATTTTTCAAATATACTTCCGTAAGAAAAAATTACTGTCGCTGACCTTTTTAATGCTTGCTTTGAGTGAATGTCCTTAATTTTGTTAAATGGAAAATTTTCACTTTAAAAAAGGATTTTTGTGTATGTTGATTCTTTTTAATAAATGATTGACTGATCTTAATAAATTATCGATTGATTAATTCATTAATTTATTTTAATCTATGTTTAACTTATCAACTTTTAAATATATAAATTATTAATTAATTCTAAGGTTTTAAAAGCTATATATTTTTTAATTCAAAGAAATTGACATGTAAAGAAAAACATGCTTAAATCTTTTTGAGCCAAAAAAAAAAAAGGCTTAAAGAATACTTTTTGCATTGAAAGTGCTTCCTTTAAATTTGTTTTTTGTTTTTGTAAAGTACTATATAAGTATATAGAACTGCAAATCTATCTACTTGTAATAGATGTAATGTAAAAACGAATGAGAGGATTTAGTATCGTTGAGTCATTAATTTATGGCCTATTTAATTCGTTGATTTAAGTTTTTAATTTGAGTTGAGATGTGACTTTATATGAGAGTTTTTTTACTGTAATAAAGAAGTTAGATGTGATTATTTCTGAGAGTTTTTTACTGTAATAAAATTCAAATTTTAAACTTAAATCGGTAAAATTAACGGACTTAAAAAGAGAACATTCTCAAATGCAACCTCAAGGTGTTGAGTCTTCTAGTTCAAGTCTCTCGAAGCTTAATAGCTCATTGTGCCAGGGGATGTCATTTTGTCCTTTTCTTGTCGTTTTTAATGTAATTATCGTTTTATGAGTCTGTCTTTTCACAACTTTTCTGGTTTACGTAATATTCTTATTTCTTTCCCATGTCGATTTACACCTTTGTGGGGGGATATGTTGTATTTTCGACTTATTGTCGTTATGTTAGTTTTATTAAATCTATAGATAATTTCTCTTTCCTCAATTTTTTACAGTTGTCGTTTTGTTTATATATTGTCTTTGTTTTTAAGTAATTGTCCATTATATCGTCTATATAATTGTCCTTTTAGTGTTTTATGTCGTTTTCAGTCTATTGTCGTTTGTTTGAGATGGTCAACGCTTTCTGAAGTCATTGCCGTTTTTTGGTATGTTGTTGTTTTTAAAAGTAATTGTCGTTTATTGATTCTTGTCTCTCTCTCTCCATGTATTAAAATAAATAATTATCTATTGTGTTTTAAAATAGCCCGAATAATCTTATAATCTATTACTTACTCGTCGCATCTTTTTTTTTCCTCAGAACTCCGTATCCTTTCTTCCTTAATATATATAAATATGTTATATATATATATATATGTGTGTGTGTGTGTGTGTGTGTGTGTGATAAAAAAACCACGCACAGTAAATACTTTTTTTTATGCTGGGTAATTAAAAACCTTTTGAAATGTGAGTCTTACGTCTATTGTTCTAGCCACGTACAGTAAATACGTTATTTTTTATTGTTCTTAATCCTTTTAGATCCTAAGAATTGAGAATGTCGCTTATAATTTCTTATCAATTGTAAAAGAATACTTCTCATATTGTAATATATTTTTTATTGTTCTTAATCCTTTTAGATTCTAAGACCGACGCTGATAATTTCTCATCAATTGTAGAAGAGATGTCTTTTGATAAACGTATTGTCGTTTGTTGGAATCGTGTCGTTTATCATAACTATCATGGTTTTCCCTATAAAATTTTAGTTGTGCTCCATTTCTATCAAATGACACACTTCAACCTCACCAAAATCTATGTTTTTATCCATATTTATTTTTTTAAAAAAAATTGTCAAAAACTTTCACATCCAAAGATATATTGGGAACTTTTAGAAATTTCAAAATTCAGTAAAAATTTCAGAAAAATTTTGTGAGGTTTTTTTTTTTTTTTTTTTTTTTTTTTTTTTTCTTCAGACTATTAATACATGGTTAGTACATTGCTTGACCAAGTAGTTGAAATCTAAAGTTGATACTTTTTCGGTTTAACATGTCAATAATAAATCACGATGAAATGGACATGTTGAGAAGACAATGAATGTATCTCGTTCATTTTACCGATTTGAGTTTTGTTACAGTAAAAAGCTCTAAAAAATAACAACATTTAATTTTTTTGTTACAGTAAAAAATTCTCACATAAAGTCACATCTCAACTCGAATTAAAAACTTAAATCAGCGAACTAAACGGCCATCAGTTTCCTATCCTTCTTTTGCATCTTACATTTATATTGCATCACAATGAGGTCACGCAAAAAAAACCACAGTTGTATGGTTGGGTAATATCTTGCAATAATAAATCAGCCGTTGATTCAAGAACTCACTTCTATTAGCGTCATAATTTACTTATTTCGTCCAAATTCATAGGCCAAGTTATATTTTTCCCACAAACAAGTAAAAAGAAATTTCCACTCTCAAAATGTGTTGTCCTCCACACAATCATAATCAGTATTACCTTTTGTGTTTTGCACAAAAGTATTAACTTAATCCAAGTGGGACTCTACAGTGAAAAGTTGGCCAAAGAATGAGGAATGAAGAATCTAAACGCACTCCCTTAAATCTTGGAGATTCTTCTTCATTTCATGATTACTAATATAAAATTCTAATTAGGTTAGACAAAGCCAGCAACACCTTTTTTTTTTTTTTCTAAAGCAAAAGTGGGAGGGGTCTTTGAATCTTTCCAAGAAGGCACACCAACAACCCACTGAAAAGCTCAAAAGCTTATAAGATCCTAAAGAAAGATGTTTAATTATATAAAAATAAGAAGAAAAAAAAAAGTATTTAGCCGCGGTTGACGATGTGGTGGGCCTACCACTTACCGACAGATCTGCAAATTATAAATGCATAATATCGCAAATAAATAATAAAGTAGTGAATAAAGTATCGTTCTCATGAGAATTGCTTTAATTTTCATTAATTACTGAAATTAATTAACTTTATAATTATTTGAACAACTAAAATTAAAATAAAAAAATAATAAAAATAAAAATAAAAACTCAAATAAATCAAATATTAGGGCAACTAATTTCACCAAAACTAATATAATTTAATTCATTATCCTTACTAACATCACCTATTAATAATGTGTTAGAATGAGTAATCCTAGATAATTTAATAGTCTTTCTGGGGATGCTATCAAAAATATTCCTAGCATGTAAATTCACTATCTCTCAATGTGAATTCCACCACCTTAAAAATTCATTACGCTCTCTGGTTCTCTTAACTGTTCACGTAAATCTTGTTACTATCTCTCAATGTCGCATGCACCTTACGATTTTTCTTACAATAAGTTATTCCTAAAAATCTATTTCTGTGGTTTCAATTTAGATCTTCAATTTAATTTAAATATTGGCCAGATAAATAAAAGCATTAAACACAGTAAAAGAAACAACCACCATGAATAACAAATTCTTAGTGAATTACTTTATTGAAAGCAAAAATAAATAAAATTACATTAAAATAAAATTGACAATCTCATAGCCCTAACAAAAGAAAATTAAAACATAAAACTAAAAATAAAATAAATCAAGAGTTTTAATATTTTAATTCACAAAATTACAGAGAAATTAGAAAAAAAAAATCAATGCAGAGGTGTCATAAATTTTCAAGTTTAACTCTCTAATCTTAAATTTTCTGTTCTTATTAGTCTTTAAAATATTTTCTCCCTTATAAACCTTAAAACTGAAAAATAAAAATCTTAAATAAAATAATCCTAAAAACTAATCCTAAATTCCTCAAAATAATTTCTCTTAAATTTTTCTCTCTCAACTCTTTCAACGGGGCTCTATCATTTTTGGGTACATGCTCTGTACGTGTACGTCTTGAAGGAATAATCGCAGGGGGTCTCTTCTCTCGGTTTTGCGGCTGCCAAGGCTTTTTATAAAGCCTCTCAAAGTTGACATCCAACACGAATTGGAAGGCCTTTAGGGGTGCTGACACAAGCAAGCCAGGTGGCGCAAGCACAATGGAGAAAGGCTTAAGTGGGGCGACGTGTCAGCATTTTATTGGCTGCTGAGAAGTTCTTGGACGTGTGGCAAAAGAGAGAGAGGCTGGAGCTGGTGCATGTATGGAAGGTTCCGGACCAGATTTTAATCTCCTTTTTGCTCCTTTTATAACATTTAGGAGAGGTTTGATAAGGGGATTCATGTCATGATTTGAATCACGGTTTATGATTTGTTTCAGTGTTTTTTCTCATAAAAAATACACATAAATCGAAAATAATTCTAATATATGAACTAAACGTTTCCTTAAACTCTAATGAGATGTTTAGTTTATGGGTTCAGAATAATCATTTATAATTTTAATTTTTAAAATTTAAATTTTTTATGAGAAAAAAATACTATAGAGAAATAAAAATTATAATTCAAAACTAAAGATGAACCCTTTAAACAAATATCCAATCCACCTAATTTAAACGCAAATGAGAATTAATAATTAATTAAAGGATAAAAACTGAATAAAATCAACTAAAATAAAATAAAATAAAACAAAATAAAATAAAATGAAACTAAACTAAAAATAAAATAAAAATAAAAAATATTGAGAATAAATTCAATTTAAATGTAAATTAAAAGAAAAATATCTCTAGAGTTATCACCGGCCACAGCCGGCGGAGTTAATTGCCTTCCCACTAATGCCTCTTCCATCACAACTAGGTTCTTTTCTTTTTTGTTCTTTTTGGGTCCAAATCATTTTACCCTTTTGAGCATGAACATACTGTGTGCGTGCATATACAAATGATATTACTTCAATGAATCAATTTCAAAAGGAAACACATTTCAATTTTAATTCTTGTTTCAAATGGTTATGGTGTTATTTCAATTTCAATTGAAATAGCACATTTCAAAAGGAACCGCCAATGTCAATTTTAATGCTAGTTTTAACATGTGTTATTTTCTTTCTTGTGGATAGTATTATCAAATTAATTGAGATTATGAAGGTGCTTGTGTGTCAAGAATCAAAATACGTCTCGAGTCTAGTTTTATTGCCAGTAAGAGCACGTTTAGGTAGATGTATTGATACTTCGTGTTGCATTATTTAAAATATTAATACGGTATTTGGCAACAACTATGCATCGTATAATTAAATACAATATTTAAAACTAAGATAATACGTAGTTTGATATCTAACACGAAAAAAAATCTTACATACTAAAAAATATTGTATAATTTAATTTAAAATACCGTATCTATTTATATGTCAAATACTTCAAAATATGAAAGACTGAGACTAGAGTTGAACCCCGAACAACGCATACAATTCACGACTCAAATTCTATTGCTAAATAAGAGGTAAGAATAGTCAAGAGTTAATAAAGTAATTAATAATAGAGTGATTCATTTTTTGCCTTAAGGGAACCTACACTTTTCTAGGACTTCGAATTCAATTTTCATTGTGGCATTAAGTGGGTTAGTAGTTTAATTGACTTATTAGATGAACTCGATGTCCCTAAATCTTGTTATATTATTATGGGGTTGTTGAAGAAGATTTTTTCATAGCAAAAAAGAAAGTTACTTGATGGGTATACAACCATTTTTCTCCGTTGAATACAAGGCACCACCCACATCAGAATTCTGACAAAAGCAATCAAAACCTTGTTAGAAGAATAACCTTTGATATCACTTTTGCAGTTCCAATACGAACGTTGCTTCCTTCCTTCATGGATGGAAGAAAGAATCTTTTCCCATGTAATGTCTCCCTTTATGGCCTGAAAGAAAGGCTCTCAATTGGGTCCTTTTCAATGGCGTGTCTAATATCTTCTTCAGTACTGGTTTATCATCCATTCCCATACTGGGTATGGTGGGACTAGTTTGATAGATGCTGCCACCAAAAGCTCACACTTGTTCACTATTAATAAATAGTTCCTAATAGAAGCCCATGTCTTAGATATATCATATATATATATATATATATATATATATCTTTCCCATAAAGGTCATAACTCTACAGCCAAGTTTTTAGGCTGAGCAGAGCCCTAAACCACCATCATTCAAATATATTGTTACAACTCTTGAATAGAACTCATCCTCAAAAGTTAATTTGTAGGGAGAGAGTGTCCAAGTGGTTATAAACCCACATGCTAAGCTCATATTTTAGCGATGTAGGACTCAACCAGGATCCTAACATACCACCACGCTTCCTACACCGACGTCCACGACGGCCCACTCTGGGTGGCCCACTCTGGATGGCCCACTCTGGCCTTTCCAGGTCGCCCATTCCGCAACGTGGGCCTGAGGATGAGCATGCTCTGATAAGTGATACCAATTGTTATAACTCTTGGGTAGAACTCATCCCCAAAAGCTAGCTTGTAGGGAGAGGGTGCCCAAGTGGTTATAAACCCACATGTTAAGCCTATACTTTAGCAATGTGAGACTCAACCAGGATCCTAACATACCACCATGCTTTCGACACCGACGCCCACGGCGGCCCACTCTGGCCTTTCCAGGTCGCCCCTTCCCAGGTCGCTCCTTCCGCAACGTGGGCCTGAGGAGGAGCATGCTCTGATACCAATTGTTATAACCTTTGGGTAGAACTCATCCCCAAAAGTTAGCTTTTGGAGATGAGTTCTACCCAAGAGTTATAACAAGTTGATAAGACCAGGCCCTTGGTGAGACAGGTGTTCATTAGGAGAGGGAAACGAGTGTAAGGGTAAAGGGGGGTTAATAGAGTGACTGGCAACAAATGAGAGTCGGTTACGAGGGGGGGTTAGTTACAACAGAATAAGGAGGTTGCCGAGGGGAATAAATAGGAGGAGAGGGGATACGAGAAGGGGTATCGTAGAAGTGAGTGAGAGAGAAGCTTGGCCAAATAGCCAGCGAGGTGGAGGAATTGCAGTCCCTCGAAGAACTGCTATTGTGTACATTTTCCTACAGCCTAATAAGAATTCCTGATTCTTGATTCACTTCTGTTTTCTTTCCCTTTCTTGTTTGTGAAAGAAACCCTAGGATCTATCATATATATAAATGTATGTATATATATATATAATTAATGAGTTGACATGCGTCTCATAATCCATCATTTTCTGACAAACCAAACACCAAACTAACAGCAAGTTTTGAATCAAATTTTGCAATCAATGACAACAAACTGGACATCTTACGTTGGTAGAAGAGCAAGACATATTGTTTTCTAACACAGTCTATAATAACACGTGACATTCTGACAACTCCAGTGTCAACTGTAGTATCGGAACAAGTATTTAGTGCAAGCAACCGAATTCTTGACGAGAAGAGGAGCAGAATGTATCTTGATACAATTCAATCATATTTTTCAAACTTAGACATAACAGAATTTTCTGAAAGCAATTCTACTGTGCAATTTACATATCGTAAAATACTAATGGTCAGAATTTGGTCATAGTTGCGGGTTTTTTTTTTTTTTTTTTGGTAGTGGGTTTCTCTGTGCGTTTTCAGTGGTTCATAATATTTTAAGCTACTTGACCCTTTCATTGATTCCAAGAGCTAGACAGAAATCATTTAACGACATAGTTGATGGGATATGGAGTGTAAAAACGTGGACTTGAATGAAATTGCATTTTATAAAAGTAGGGAAACTTGGAGTGTGTGGGGGAAGAAATTAGAAATGTCATTAAGTTTTAGCTTAACATCTTTCTATTTTGGCATTGGAAACTAGAGAGAGTTAAAAACGTACTTTGGATCAGAGACTCATGTTTCAATTTCATTTACGTACATACATGGCCCTGCCTATCCTTTTCCCCTAAAGAGACAGTAAAAGAAGGCAAAAAAAACAAGAACTGAAGTTGCAGAACTACTGAAAAAGAACAATAACATGACCAATTCAGGCTTGTTATGGACATTAACATCAACTTAAGAAATGAAATTCTAAACGGCCAATTCCTTCCCTTGTTTTCGGAAACGCTGGAGTAGAATTGGGATACTTCTGTGATATATTTCTTATTCTCAAATCTCAAATTCAGTAGTCGGTCTTGAAGGGCTTATAGGATTTGAGGTCAAGAATTACACCAGCAATTGAGCCGGCGGCTGCAGCCACAGTTATGATAAGGCAAGCAAAGCTCAAGATTTGTAGGCAAAGCCATTTGGTGCTCCACTTTGGTATTCTCTTCTGCGCAATGTACATCTCCACAGGGTAGTAAACAGTCAACGGCCAAAATCCGAGGGCCCCAAGAAGGCCAACGATGTCGTTGAAGAACGGTAACAGCATCGAGATCAAGGTGGTTAATATCACAAAGATTGTCCTCCAAACCAGCCTAAAGAGGTTGAGGTTGTAGAAGCGTGAACCTGGGAGGGGGATCCTGATATCTCGGGTGATGAATTCGCTGTCCGGGAACCTCTGTGCTGCTTGTTTCTCGACGAAGGCGAAGAGGGGTTGGCAGTAGACTTGGTATGCACCAACAAGGTGGATTACAATGGCGGCGTTGGCTATGTCTAGGAGCCAATATGGGTTGTAGAAGCCAAAGCCAGTGAGGAGGTTTCCGGGGGACATGTCTCCGAAAGCGGCATATCCCATGCAGCCACAAAGCATGTAGAAAAGGGTTGTCACTGACACACTGATTAGAGTGGCCTTCTTCATTGTCTTGGCTTCTGATGGTGGTGGGCATTTGATTGTGTCCTGTTTATATGATCAAAGAATGTAATTAGCCCCACATATAAATAATTGACAAATTAATGAAAATGAAGTAGAATCTTCTTTAATAAACAAAGATATGTTTGTTATATAAATATACCTGAATCTCAATAAGGATGATGGAGTAAGAGTAGGCGAAAGCTATGTCACCAAGTGCTTGAAAGCTCCTCCATATCTTTTCAGTTTGAGTCACAGTTCCAATGCTTATTCCTGTGAGACTTCCTGCAACTTTTCCATTTGCTATTGTTTTTTATCAAAAAAAAAAAAAAAAAAACCAAATGTCAGTAAAAACTCCAGAAACTCTTTACGTTAACATTATACAAAGCATTATAAATATAGACATTGGAGAGTGTGTTTTTTTTTTTTCCTGAACCTGCAACTTGAGCAATTCCGAGTCCAAGTCCAATTGTAGAGTAAGTGAAGGACATAACAGCAGCAACAAGGGAGAGCCACCATAGCTGATCAAAGTTAGGAATTTGAGAGAAGATTATCTCAGTGACACCAAAAGCAATCATGTAGGGATTGCTGCTCATGTGGCATGGATCTTTCCTACCACTCTTGTGGAAGCAGTTAGACCTCTTGATTGCCCTATTTGTAAAACACAATCAATCAGCAAATTTTTTTTTACCAAGCTACACAAATCTAACATCAAAAGATACTCACATCATGCTTATAGCCGATGCGATAGTGTACCCAATGGCAACTCCAAAAAGATTCAGGTACTGAAAAAGCCCACAAATCCTGACCCGAAGTCCACCTAATGAAACCAAAACCAAAAACCCCAACACACACACACACACACACAAAAAAAAAAAAAAAAAAAAACATCAAATTTATAACTTTTTAAGAAAAACCCACTTCACAATTTCACATAAAAAGTAAAAACTATTTACCTAGGTTGGATCGAACAGCATCCATATAAGTGTAGTTCCTCTTGCCAGTGACAGGGTCCCCAGTGCGGTAACAAGCGGAGAGAAGAGTTGAAGTGTAGTAAGTGACAAAGGAGAACAAGAACATCACAGCAGGACCAGCAATCCATCCCAGCTGAGCTGTGGCCCAAGCCAGCGACAGAACTCCAGACCCAATAACGGCCGTTATTATGTGGGCACTTGCCGTCCAAACAGTCCCTAAAAGTTCACATCACAAAAAAAAGAAAAAAAAAACCATTACTAAAAACTACATTTTTTCACAACTAGAAAATAAACAAAAAAGAAAGATACTTTTTTTTTTTTGAAGATTATTACCGGTTCGCTTGAGACGGCCGTCGTCGTCAAAGCATTTGGAGCCGGGTTGCTGAGGAACGTCGAGTGAGACGTCAAAAACTTGGCGGTGTTGAAGCTGTTGTTCTCCCATCTTTGTGCATAAAAGAAAAGGAAATTTAATGAAGGGCCTTTTGGATTTGAATGCAAAAGTCTGAAAGTTGGTGAAACTTTTATGTGGGAAATCAATGAGAAAGACAGAAAAAGAAAATATGGGTTTTCTTCTTCTTCTTGTTCTTTCAATGGGTAGTAATTTAAGTCTTCTGGTTCTGTTGTAATTACTAGTCAGTATTTCAACTTCTCTCAACTGTTTTTATGTTAATAAGGCACTGGGAATTTCATACACACCAAGAATTCCAACAAACCCAACTGGATTTTTAGACTTAAAAAAAGGAAAAAGAGAAGAGAAAAAGAAAAGAAAATTAATTGAAGAGAGGAGAAAAACTGATGAGAAAACGAAGATTGAAATTCGCTGAAGAGAATGGAGAGTTGTGGGGGGATATATAACCACCCAGAGGGAGGAGAAAGTTGGAGTAAGACACCCACGTGGCGTAAAACTCCAATTTTTTTTGGGATTTTTTTTATTTTTATTTTTTTTATAGAGTAAAGCTAGAACTGTCCAAAACTGATAAGACTAGGAGTCCGCGTATTACGTCAACAACCGACGAAATTTTCCGTGTGCCCAAACAGCCCCTGAATTGACTTCTCTCTCTTTTCTCTTTAGGGGCTTTTTTGTGAAGATTTTGTAGGATTTTTCTAAGATTGTTTGTTGGGTTGGTGTAGGATAGGGTTTTTTTTTCCTCTATCTTAAAAGGTGTAGGTTGTACATATTTAACCCCAACAATATTAGAAAAATTTCACAACTTATAATGTTTGGGTGGGTTAGGGCAGTGCGGGGTGAGTTGGGTGGTCGATTTCAACATTCAAATAATCAAAAACTCAAAGTTCAATCCAATATTCAAAGTTTATCATTAAATAGAAATAATAACTCTAACGTTCAAATAAATAGAAATTCAAAGTTCAATCCAACATCAAATATGAAATAAAGTAATCCATCTAACATCAAACATAAAGTAAATATAAATTAATCTACACTCATAAATTAATCTTAACATAAAGCAAATATAAAGGCTTAATTTAAACATGAAGAAACTAGATAATAGAAATAAGTTGTCTGCCTAAAATTAAATATTAGAAGACATACGTTAAAGTGTAGATTGAATTAGGGTGTGCGGGTCATTATAGACTCAACTCACATCCTATCTTAAAACTTCAGATTTGAATAGGCTAAAAAAAATTTTAATATTAAAAATTGTATTTTTCAAATTAAATTGAGATATGGTGGATTGGGCCAACGGATTTTATGGGTTTATGAACAGTCCTAATCTTTTCCTAACCTCTTATTTTCTGTTCCGACTTTCGACCCACTTTGTCGAGTTTCTTGTCACTGCAGTCCTTTTTCAAAACACCAATACGTATATGCTCTACGGCACCTATCAATACTTCCGTAAGACGAGAGTTACGTTTTTGTGTCTGTTATTTTTTTTCTTAGCTTATTTTATTTGTTTGTTTTTCTCATGTAGACACGTAGAAAGTGGTCAGCTAATTAACAATCTCTTGTTCTTTATTTCTTTTTTTTTTTTGTTTTTTACTTTTTTTTTTTTACTCCTACTTATTTCAGAAAAACAACGGCGAATAATTAGTTGGTACAAGTATATTTTCTTAGGCATTCTTTACTTGAGACCCATAAAAAAAAATCTCCCGGTAGAGTACTGTTTTGTAATTATTAAATTAATTTTTTAACGATCACATCTATAATATAAACAGTTGTCTTCAGTTTATTATAAATTTTTAATACAAATTTTATATAGTATGACTATTCAATGATTAAAAATGCAGGTTTCACTAGTGATTTTTTTGTTTTTTTTTTTGGTGTTCCATCGTAGAGGTTGTCATTTTTTTAAGCAAAGCTTTTTGTCTTTGTTAAGAAGAACTACTTTTGAGGACCTTGAAAAAGACTGGCTAGTTATAGTAAGTACTAATTAATGACTAAATAAATATACACAGAGGATTGTGACATATAGAAGGGTAGAAGGTTTAAACATGATATAAAATTTCTGGTTTAAAGCGATAATATTCTTTGATAACATTCTTTAAACACGATAAAAAATTTCTGATTTAAACCTGTTAAAATATAAAATTATTGTTGACTCACCACTTAAAAATTTAAGCTTTTGAGATGAATTGGTAAACTAACATGGTATCAGAACGGGAGGTCTTTAGTTTAAACTCCCGTAATTATACTTTTTATCCCCATTTAAAATTGTCATGTGTTATCTCGGGCTTAAATATTCATGTGCTGGGCTTTTCAATTAATTTACTCACACGATTGCCCATTATCCAGCCCACACGTGAGGAAGAGTGTTAAAATATAAAATTATTGTTAGTTCACCTCCTAAAAGTTTAAGCTTTTAGGATGGATTGGTAAACTAACAAAACCAACAATTATTTTTTGGCTTTTACTATTTTTTCTATGTATTTTGTTCCATGATAACACATATAATATCGAGCTTTTCAACATTTTCTTCATAAATTTTTGTACCAACCAAAGGTTTGGCATTGGACATGCCTACATGAGCATGGGACTTGTGACATCTCCTTGAGAAAAAAAGAAAATCATTTTCTTTGAAATTTATTGCTTCTGAAATCATTGACGAAAATATATATGTTCTATAAATGCTCATAAATTATGACGTATATAAGGATCACATGCATATAACGTCTATAAAGTTGCAGAAAACTAATATATCATGCAGTAAAACTTAAGACACTAATTACCTTCATTTTTGCAACCTTTCTTTTTGTATCTTTCTCCTTTGTGCGCCGCTTTGTTTTCAGAAAAACCAACAAGCACTTTCTATATTTGATGGACTAAAATGAAAACCAGAAAGAGATATAATGAATCAATATGAGAAGCAATACAAGATCAGACGGGTGTTTTTTATTTTGTGAT